GAAATTGCTGGCCACTGCCACCACTGTTCTAAGGGGTTGGTGCGTGGCGAGCATGGCTCACGTTAGTGATCTATGTGCAATATTTGCGGTTCTAAGGAGCCAGCGGCCAATGTGATTTGTTGCTTGCGACAAAACACAGTACGACTTTTTCGCTTTCGCATATCTGTTAGTGCGATGGTCTTTCCCGCCAAATTCGATGTGGAGTTAGGCCTAGAGACGCCTTCCACTAGAAGCGCAGCTGCGATGTGCATGGTCTCGGTGCCTGATGTTTCAAAGTACATCATGCTCGATCGAGAGTACAAAGATTTATCCCATCATGGTCTTCGTCACAAGGTCCAATGTACTGATAAGCAGAACCTTCTCGCCAACAAGTCAACTCTATGACGATCGGTTCGAGACGCGTGTGTACGATCTTCGCCGCGATTACGACATGCCATCGTAATCTGAAGACTGAACTTCCACTTGCAGCTGCCTTAACAGCCCGTGAACACATAACTAATGTCACTAAGTAGTGAGATTTTGCACAGCCGCGACCTCGCCACGCACTAGAAGCAGACGATGCTATCCCGAAGGCGTATTCAGAACAAGTATCGGATTAGCGAGGCATACTGGAGCAATACAGCAAAAGCAGCCAATTGAAGTCCTCCAAATGAATTTCAAATATCTGCTTTTTGAACACGGAATGTTCTTTACAAAATACATTTACCACGAGCCCAAAATGGTGGTGGGCAGTTGTGCCGTCGCAAAGTCAAAAGCTTTTGAAAAACGCAGTTTTTTATGTGACTTACTTAATGATTTTCACCACCTCGGCAGGCGCAAAAACTTTTCAAAACACTTCTACGTAGTTTGCAGTGAAAATATTTTGGAATCGGCTAGAAAAACGGCTAAAGACCCTGGAGAATGATTTTTAAAAAAAAATTAACTTTTTTATGTCCCATTGAGAAGAAATTCTACTTGACTCGTGAGTTTCTTCGGTTATAACAGACCCATTCAGTGTTACCATGAAAGTCTGTTGTAACAGTACTTCACTGTGGAGTCTGTTGTAATGAGATTATACTGTATGCAGTGGAACTTCAATCATACATTCCTCGGTTGCACGGCGACCTGCATTTTATGACCAATCAGTTTGGTCCTTGCAATATCCTCATAGAAATATAGTATTGAAAACCTTGGTTATACAACGCAGTTCTGTGCCGACCCCGCTGTAACGTTTAACTCAGAGACAAGACGACGATGAACACTTGGCTGGGCCTCGCCATGACGAAAAGACCCCTGGCCGTTTATTTGCTGGGCTTAAGTAGCTGCGCTCACAGCGGGGAAGGGGGAAAGAAAGCAAAGGAAGGAAATTAAACCGCACGAAACGATGGAGAGGAGGAGGAGACAAAGACAATATCGCCTAGGGCGAATGCTGATAGCAGATAGTCCGGTCTGTTACATCTTCTCTTCACACACTTTCAAAACACTGATTTCTTTTGCACTCATTTACTTGATGGAAGGATGGCCCGTAGTGAAGGCGCTTCGGTTCGCTGCGCTGGCGTCCTGACCTGCGCAGGCCAGCCAGTGGGCTTCCTGGAGTGTCTGGAGAAATGGTGGCGTTATAATCTTCCTCTGGCTGAGCTGGTTGCACCTGGTGACTTCTCAGTGGGTTGTCCGGCGTGATGTTGCCACGGTGTCCATCACTGAACTTCGTCGGGGGCCTCGCGTCGGGGTTCGGATTACCCTCGGGGCTGACCTTGTCGTCGAAGTTTTCGTCCGTTCGCAGCAAGTGCTGTCGGTTCCGTATCAGGAGACCATGGTCTTCCGTTCTTACCACGTATGATCGTGGTGCAGTCTCTTGTACCACTTTCGCTCGGCGTGACCAGCTTCCATGTTTGATCCGGACCACATTTCCGGCTTCCAAGGGTGGTAGTGGCCTGCCTCGGGAAGACTGTCGCTGTTTCCGTACGGGTATGCCTCCGTCGACGTTGTATTCTGGAAGAGTGGCGTGCAGGCGGCGACCTTGCAGTAGTTCTCCGGGTGAGTGACCGCTGTCAAGGGGAGAAGATCGATAAGCCAACAGACCAAGCCATACATCACCCCGGGACTCGTGGGTTTTCTTTAGAATACGCTTCACGATCTGTACCCCCTTTTCAGCTAAGCCATTTGACCGTGGGAACTCTGGACTCGAGGTGATATGCTCGAAGTCATATCGGCGCACGAAGGTCGCGAACTCTCGCGATGCAAATTGAGGCCCGTTGTCGGTACAAACTTGGTTGGGAATGCCGTATCGCGAGAAGATAGCAGATATCTTGTTGATTACTTCCGCCGCCGTGGTACCTCTGAGCTCCTCGATGTCAGGAAAGTTCGAATGGGCATCAAACACAACTACGTAGTGTTCTCCAGCGAATGTAAATAGGTCTATGCCTACGCGATGCCACGGTCAGTCGGGAGTTGGCTGTAGCAGGAGGGGTTCACTCGGTTGACTGTATGCGTACTTTCGACATACGCTGCACGTTCGCGCTCGTTGCTCAATGTCACTGCTCATTCCCGGCCAGAAAACCAGTCTACGGGCTCTAGCTTTGCACTTGTTCATACCCAAGTGGCCTTCGTGAATTCGCTCAAGAATTTCCGCACGCATTGATTTAGGCGCCACAACTTTGCAACCCTTTAGCACCACTCCATTGACCACGGATAGCTCTTCCGCATACGGTTTCAGTACGCCGTCTATTGCCATGCCATCTTCCATTTGTTTCATGGTGCGGCTGAGAAGCGGATCTTCGATGGTTTCCTTCTGCAGCTGCAACATAGTCGCTTTGCTTATGATGCTGGTGACTACCTGCGTTGTGTGGACGTCCACGTCCTCGACTTCGTCGCCTCCGCCAGTTGGTAGTGCGGCACGAGACAGCAGGTCTGCGAGTAACAGGTCCCTAACAGGTACAAACTGCAACAAAAAATCATATTTCATAAGACGGATGAAAAACCGCTGTAGCCTGGGTGGCATATCTGCAATGTTTTTTTCAGCAATCGCAAGTAATGGCCTGTGATCAGTTTCTATCGTAATGCTTCGTCCATACACGAACTGATGAAACTTTTCACAAGCGAAAACAATTGCCAGTGTTTCCTTTTCTATCTGGGCGTATCGCTCTTCACTAGGCGTCAGTGCTCTTGAGGCGTAGGTCACTGGGCGCCAGTCATCCCCGTGTCTTTGCAATAAGGCAGCGCCGATACCTGTTCCTGAGGCGTCCGCAGTTATCTTAGTGTCTCTTTTTTCATCAAAAAGAGCCAGCAACGGAGGCTTAGCGAGCGCTGCGCAGATCTGGTCCCATTCGCGCTCATGGGCTGTTGTCCACTCAAACACCGATGCTTCTTTCACCAGGCTATGCAGCAACGCCGTTTTGTCGCTCAAAGCTGGCAGGTACTTCTGAAAGTAGTTCACAACCCCGAGTAATCAGCGCACACCCTGTTTATCTTTTGGGGCTGGCATGGCACGGACGCTTTCGATTAAATCGGGACTAGGACGAATTCTGTCTCTTCTGATGACATCGCCAAGGAATGCAACCTGCGTGGTGCAGAACACGCAGGTTGCAAACCCACGCCCGGGCTTCTGGGCGTGGGTTCGGATCCCACTTCTGACACCATGTAACGTTTAACTCAGAGACAAGACGACAATGAACACTTGGCTGGGCCTCGCCATGACGAAAAGACCCCTGGCTGTTTATTTGCTGGGCTTAAGTAGCCGCGCTCACAGCGGGGAAGGGGGAAAGAAAGCAAAGGAAGGAAAGTAAAGCGCACGAAACGGTGAAGAGGAGGAGGAGACAATATCGCCTAGGGTGAATGCTGATAGCAGATAGTCCGGTCTGTTACACCCGCATCTCGCGATAACTTTTAGACTCCGTTCGAAAGAAAAAACCACCTTTTACCGAATCAAACGACGACCAAATATCCACCAGTGCAATGCATGAGCTTTTGTTCCCCTAGGTTGACAATATAAAAAGTAGAGAGTGAGACGGGATGCCTTCTCAGAATAGAACATTTATTCTGGAAGCTCATGTGCATTAACATACGCCTCGATCGCGTGCGTATATGTTCGGGGCCATTACCTTGCCAAGCTTTATCGACACAGAATATCTTCAGCCGGCCGAAAAGATGATGTATACAGGATTTCGGTCTGTCGAAACTTCTTTCTTGACATGCAGCTGCTCTCCTGCCTTTGTCATACTCGCAGTCACAAGCTTGCGCACACATAGGGGTGCCACGCAGCTGTTTGCATCATGCAAAATTACTTTCACTTGACGTCAATGTTCATAAATACGAGCGGGTCACCACTAGTTGCAATTCACAAGGCAACAATTTACAACATGCACAGCTCAGCCGTCCACGAAGGCATTCTATGCAAACTCGTGCTCTGTCGCCATTGTGTGATAGCGATGACACTGTTTCTGACTCTTCGGACGGTAGGCGGTTGGCGACGGGGTTTCGGTTTCCTTTTCTCACACAGGAAATTTTCTAACTTTATTTGTTGGTAGAAAGATACGCGTAGGATTGGATTTTATTTTTAAGGTTGACAATAAAAATTCACTCGCGCCTCCTTCAACTAAGTAGCGCTGATATTAGCTGCCACTGGCAAGAAGAATTTAATTTACCTTTCTCGCAAAGGCGCAAGGTCGGGCTGTGGACTTATTTAGGCGGCCTGTACCCAATTTTTATGCTAAGCTAAATGTCACTGCCTATAATTTCATTTTTTCAATTACACAACCCCGAGATGATACGATGGTTTTGTGTGGTTCTCTGAAAGTCGTATAATTTGGGTTCCACTACACGTTAATTCGGTCATTTTGAATACTTCGAAATTCTGAATAGTTTAATTTTTGTGGGCCCAAGCAAACTTGAATACTCTATTTTTTGTTCAAATAATTGCAGCACTCAAATGTTTGCTAATCCCCGCTGCTTACTTATGTGAGCTTTTTTTCACTCATACAACCTGTTCTATTTTTCTAACCTTCTCACTTGCCTCTGTCCAGCTCTTCTCGTACCCTGGTGCAGCAGGGGGTGGCACAACGCTATCGTCAACAGTGCTGAGCTCGCCGGGCGTGGGAGGTCTTCTCGCCTCCCCGAGATCGGCACGAACGACCACGACGCCCGCATCTATGCCTCCGCGCTGGAACCCGCCGTTCATCGCGCTCGATGAAAATATGGACTACCAGATGATGGCGGGCCTCCTTCCCCCAGCCGGGGCTCAGGCCGCTCCCGACAACTCACTCATGGGGCCATCCCACGATGACGGTGAGTGGACATGTGAGCCTCGCATTTGATTTGACATACTGACCTTGCCTCCAATGAATGTCCCGAATCCATGAAAAGCATGGCAATGGTCATCTCAAAAAGTCCGAACTACAACAGGTTTTTGATCCCATTAGGTAGCATGTAAGTGTTTATTGGTTATGAATTTATACAGAGTGCTTGTTGGTACATAGTGAACTTGTGAAAACAGAACTAGTGACAGGAAAAAGAAAGAAGCAACAAGACGAGCACTGCTTCATCTCGTCACTTCTTTCTGTGTCCTGTCCTCAGTTTATTGGCTAGGTGCCTGCCGAAACGGCATACTGTATGACACTATTGGGCAAAGTACAATTACTCCACAGCCGTCACAATAGCTACAGAGACATTTGGCCAATCCTTTATTCTGTTTGATTTTCCAGAAAGTTTTTCAATTGAGGATCGCTCTGCAATTTTAACAATGTTCATTACATTTAATCAAATAAAAAAAAAAGATATTGTTTGCTAGAAAAAAAAGTTCTGCCTTTCCACTTTCCATCTCCAACTCTCCCAACATAAGCCCTGTGATCATGAAGAATTAAAGCAAGTCATTTCGAATAAGTTCCTAAATGAGAGGAAATGAGTAACCATGAAGTTGCGTAAAAAGCATTTGTCGTCTAAAGATGGTTCACTTCTCAGTTGGCATTGTGACTTACCCTACTTTGCCATTTCATAGCTTATTTTCCTTTTGAGTTAAGCAGAAACCATGTTGGGCTGCAAAATAATAGCTTTTAAGGGCATATCTGCTGATTTATCACTTTTGCATTACTTGATGCATTCTGCGATTGGTTATTGCAGAACATTTTTCTCACTTTGACTGATGTCCTTTTTATTAGTCCAATTTTAATGCCAGTCAATTCCCGGTAATTCAAACTCGAAGGGACTTCTGAGTTTTGTTTGAATTATCAAGAATTATCTGAAGTTCTCAGATATATGACTGTGGGTGAAGTGACACCACACATTATGATTAGGCATTGATTTTATCAGATTTAAAAATGTTTTAAGCGATTGCATATCCTAACTGCACGCAATGAAAAGTGTAAGGTCCAAAAGTTTATCGGCCATTTACTGCTGATCAAATCTTTTAAAGAAATGGTGAATTGCCAGTTGATTCTTGGCTATATGTGCTTTCATCACAAAGTGCTCTATACCAGTTGAGAAGCATCACGGTTTACCATCTGTGTGCTTTGTTTCAAACATTTGTTTATTAGCAAAGCCTTTTTCTTTGAAGGCCTGAGGCACTTACTTTTCATTTTTAGACTGTTAGGATTATATATAAGTATGCAACTATTTAAATAGTATTGGGAAAGTAGCAGATATTTCATGACACCCATCAGATGCGTGTCATGTAACAACATGACTACATGGTACGCTCGTGATGCACTCGCGGCCGTTTCGCTAGCTTCACATGTACTTAACTCGGTATTACGTGACGTGAATGAACGACATAGGTAAATGGCACATAAAAACATGATAATCACGACACGCGTGTCATGTAACAGCATGACTACATGCCCCACTGATGATGCGCTCGCGGCCGTTTCGCTATCTTCCCATATGCGAAGTTTGGTGCAGTGCAGCCGGCGGTCATTTTGTCGCGTCAGGCCGCTGTTGCACGCCAAGCGCTGGTCCTGCCATATATTCGCAAGCGCACGCCCCCCTGCGTTGCTTTGACGCATGCACATTTCAGCGTGTCCGGCGTCCCTCCCTCACGAAAAGACAGAGACACAGTGTTCTCTGGGTAACGCATTGGCGCGAAATGCAGCATGTGGCATTTCGCGCCGACAGACGCTAGTCATGCCTGGCGTCAGACTATAGAGTGCTTGCGTTTTGCTAACGCAGCGTCGCTGTGCCCAGCGTGCGCACACGTCAATGCTGCATTGAAGTACATTGGGCCCTTTATATTGTGCTCGCGGCCGTTTTGCTTGCTCCACATATACCATATTTCGTGTTGAGTGACTTCAATGAATGACAAAAGTATATGACTGGTGCAAACTTGATAATCCTGACACACGTTTCATGTAAGAACATAACAACATACCACGCTCATAGCGTGCTCGCGGCCATTTCGCTAGCTAAACATATACTAAATTTGGTATCATGTGACGAGAATAGATGACGAAGGTAAACGACACATCTAAACATGATAATCATGCCACGAAAGTCGTGTACTGCACCATTCACCTCAACCTCGTAAAATTGGGCTGAATTGAAAGTGACATATTAAGATTTCTCATTCGTGCTTCGCATATTATCGATTCCCACTGTACGTGGGATCTGCCAATTTTATTTAATGCCAGTGCTCCTGAATGGAAACTGTTATTTCACCTTAGTTTAGGGAGTTGTCGTGGTGCAACGTCACCTAGAGTGTACGACTGCTTTCTCACAAGTGCCTCTGAGTGCATTCCCATGGAGATGCAATAGATGCACCGTATCTCTCTCCTACATCATGCATCTGTCAGGCTTGTTCCTTAATACCTCTTCATTTGTGGCTCAAAGAAATGATGTGGCTGCCTCGCAGTGCATGTGTTGTTGTATCCCATAGATCTGAACCCAACTAAACAGAAAAATATTTCATCTGACATCTGTCATGGGACATCACCTAAAGGGTACACTCCCCTATGAATGTGAAGCAGAAGATAGCCAAGGGGGAGGGAAAAAAAAAAAGATGAGGGAAGAGGGTCGTAAACAGCTAGATCGGGGGCACTTGACTGGCAAATAAAGGAGCGAAATAGGTCTCGACAGAAAAAAAAAAAGTTTATTACAATTAAAACACAAGGTGATGCAACTGTAAACAGCAATCCAAGAGTGGTCGCCCGCAGGGCTTCATTTATATTTGCAGCAGTCAAAAATGCTATGATCACTGCCTTGCCTGATTATTTATTATAGCTGCTACAGTCTGTCACTGTCGACAAAAACCGCGTCGTCGTCCGTGCCGTCCAGACTGTTCCAGAGGCAGCACTTCAAGAATGCCCGTGACACTATTGCTGACGGCAAGGCCTCTCAAGCATTGTGTATTCATCGAGCAACCTCGCTGACTGAAGCTCGCTTCATGCGACTCGATTGAGTCAGTTGGCGATTGCTAGCCTCCAGCCACTGCTCATACTCCTGGCATACGTGGTCCTTAAAAGGCTTAATAATGCAGACATCCGCTGACTGTAGCTGTGACGTCATTCCTCTGAAAATGACAAGGTCACTGTTGGCTTTGCTGAGCGCTTCTTTCACCTCACCGGTCAAGTGGCCTCTAAATACGTCCAGCACAATCATTGCTGGAGTGTTGCGAAGTGCGCCCGGACGTCTTCCCCGCACAACACAGATCCACTTCATCATCATGGTGCTGTTCATCCAGCCCTCATCATTGCACCCAACGTGCATACGGTGTGGGGAATATCTCATTCTTGGGCAGCGTCTTCACCTTAAATATGAGAAAGGGAGGCAGCTTACCCCCGTCTGCCGTGCACGCCAGAATCACCATCTCTCAGGTCTTTTCGTTACTCGTTGTGCAAACGCGCACCTTCTTGGTGCCGAGCTCATCGATTACATAGCTAGCCGGTATGTCCAAAAAGATCGGAGTCTCATCCGCGTTACCGATCTGGCCTACGGGGTAGTTCTTTTCCCTCCTCATCTTAATCACATACCGCTGAAACTCAACGAGTTTCTCCTCATACTTGGCCGGAAGCTTCTGGCAAATTCAAGTCTTTCAGCAAAGCGAGAATGCCACGGGATGCATGAACTTTTGTACACACGAGCGACTGGCTTTGAAGGTGTCACGGGGCATGCCGACCTCACGTGCAAGCTCCCCTGTTTAATCTGCACGAATTCGGCGTTCACAGGCAGAAACTGGCCATGACGTTGGCGCACGAATTCTGCCAGGTCCGCTTCGATTTCGAGGAAACAGCCAATCTTGGGCCCACGGAACGCCTTGCATGTCGGTGCGACTTGTAAAATGTGGTCCCAGAACTTCCTTCAACCTCGAATAGTAGACTCCGTCACTCCGAGATGCCGTGCCACACTTGAATTTCCTATCTTTGGAAATCTATCTTTGGAATCCCCTATCTTTGGCCAGCAGGATCACCTGTTTTTTGAATGCGACCGTGTATTGATTCCGTTTGTTCATGATGATGGGCAATGCATAAGAAAAAACACAGCAGCGACCGACCGCAAGGCGTAGGAAGGCGACGTTTTTCCGAAATTATTGTCATCTAGGTGTTGCCACTGGGGCTGCTATGGTGCTAGCAGCGCTAACTCAGAATGCGATCGCCGCAGCATACCGTAGTGGCGCTTGTGTCAACGGTGCACTGAGCGGCGGCGCTCTGAGACGCCAGGCGGGCGTCGGCACCACAGTGCTTTCCCACGCGCGGTCACTGAAGGCGCGAGTCGGAATAAAATACGCTATACGAGGCGGCGAAACCACGAAGTTCCTGGAATGTGTGGCGCATGTTAGAAGGACGAAGATTTAAAAGAAAAAGAAAAGGCTGAAAAAAGTTTCGTGCTATATTTGTGCCACTTTTTGTCATTAACCCAAATATGACGCGAGGTGCCCTTTTCACTCACAAAATTTTTGGAAAAAAACTTGCGTTCTATTGGTGCAAATACGGTGCATTTGCATTGTTGAAGGTACAAAAGCCGAGACAGGGCACAGACCAAAGGGAACATTTACAAGTTTCCAAGCAGGTACACAGAATGGCTATCCTTGCTTTTATATAAGTGACCATTTGTAATTGACGATAGAAGCAACTGAAAGTCAACTTCGTTCAGCCCTGCTTCAACATAATTCGTAGAGAGCAGTTCGGGCATTCATTTTGCACCTAAACCGCATGGAAGCATCAATTCAATTCACTGGGCAGGAAGACTCATTTAGGGCGTTACTTGCATTTTGGTTCCATGCAACCTGCTTCACATAAAAGGGCGGGGGTTTCCGCGCTTCTACAACACGCACAGAAAATCTCCACTAGGCTAGAAGACTA